AGTTCACCCGGAAATGATAGCTTTCAGGTCAAGTGTGATGTCATAAGGTCATCATTGTTTTGTGTTAACGATTACAGACGTCGAGATTTGATTTACAGGTGCATTGACATACGATGGTACAAGAGTGACACAACAACAGGTGGAAAGAGATAGAGAAAGAAAGAGAGAGAGAGAAAGAGAGAGAGAGAGAGAGAGAGAGAGAGAGAGAGAAAGAGAGAGAGGGAGGAGAGAGAGAGAGAGAGAGAGAGAGAGAGGGGGGGGGGGGGGAGTCAGTCTGTCAGGGCAAAGGAGAGAGAAGGGGAAATCTAAAGATTTGGAAACAGAGCAAGGAGAGAGGAAGAAGGAGAGGTAGGAAGAAAAAAGACCGAGTTTGCGCGCGAGTGTCATAGAGAGTGTCTGGTGTGGGCGTGTATGTGTCTGCGTATCTGAGAGAGAGAGAGAGAGAGAGAGAGAGAGAGAGAGAGAGAGAGAGAGAGAGAGAAATAGAGGAAGAGAGAGAGAGAGAGCGAGAGAGAGAAAGAGAGAGAGAAAGAGACAAACAGAGAGACAGAAAAACAGACACATCGCAGAAGTTTTTATCCCCTCTAATTTTTACCAATTGGTCATGCATATGGGATGACATAAAGTATTTATTATAATCTACTACTTTTCTTTAATTTATTATATACCTCAGACTTTTCACAAACATTGTCTCAGTGGTTAGAGCGCCCGCCTCATGAACGGGAGGTCGTGGGTTCGAACATCGGCCGAGTCATACCAAAGACTTATAACAATGGGACCTTCTGCCTTCTAGCTAGGCGCTCAGCATATTAGATTGGAGAAGGGTAGTAATAACATGTTATGTTATGCAGGGCCCGCTGGAAGAGCAGTTTCATAACTGAAGTGGCCACCCTGGGTAAATAAAACGTTATTACTATTTGTTAAATTTGCTTTTTATTCTTATTTATAACTGCATAAATGTACTGTTTTCATGGTTTCACGTTGGGCCATCTCAATTTAAGATCACTTGATTGTCGATCAAATTACACCACAATGATTTTTACTTGGATTATAAGTTAAGCTGTAAATACTTTGTTAATATTCAAGATGCAATATTGACAATATCGACAATAAATATGTAGATACATGACAACATAACATGGGCATGCAGGTGACAGATGATAAGTAGGTAGAGCAAAAAAGGAATATTGTTTCTGATTTGTTATTCTGTATAATTGAAAACATTTGATAATGATATAGAAAATATTTCTCATTACGGTTTGCATTTTCTGTTGTATTTTCTTGTCTAATATAACATTCATGAAAGACCTACGTGTAATATTTCCTTCGATTCGATGAAGAAGACTTTGATTTAGAGATATTTTTAAAAAGAAGACAAACAATACTGTCAAAATTGCTGTTGTACGAAAGGAAATCGAATTGCTGATGCAATATGCCTAGAGGCAGGTATCCCGTGTCTTATTTTTGATTGGATAAAGCAAAAGCTATTTTAAATAGGTGATCTAATGCTTGTTGGTTTGGGAGTGATAAATATTTTCCTATCGAGTTAAAAGTTTTCCTTGTATCTTTTCCCGTCGTTTCCTCTACTCATGTTTACAACACTTATTGTTCCACCCCGCCTTCTCCCCCTCACCCCCTCATTTTTCCCGTTCTCTTTATTTGCTTTCGTCTCTGTCTCTCTGTCTAATTCTCTCTCTCTCGCTTATAATTTCCACTTCACAGTCTAGATACAGTGTCAGTAAAGATGGTGTTGTTTTCCATTGCATTCCTTCGTATCGTATTTATGACTACGAAAGTTGAGCAGTTTCACTCTCAATATTATTCATATCTTTCTCAGAAATTTCTGGAAAAACAGGGGCTAGCGTGTGAGGGCATGTGACAACCCGTGCAAAATGGTGTTTGCAAATTGCCAGTCTTGAAAACAAAAAGGTGTCATTTTCTCTTTTTTTATACATCAGATTCAATTTCAGTTTATTGTTTCATATTTCTTATTTATTTCCAATTTCGCAATGATTTCACGAAGTAAATGGTTCAAATAAATATGGATTCTACTAACAGAGACGAAAACAGAAAATGAGTACCTCATATCAATTTGCTCGAATGCATTGAATTAAAAGACTGAACTAAAAAGAAGAATAAAATATAGAGGGGCCTACGGTGAAAGCTTTGGTTGTGAGTGATATGCTACTTTGCATAGTTCCAAGGATCGTTTCTTTTGCGCTTTTTGAATTAAAAAAAATAAATTAAACGGCCTTGCGGAAAACAGCCGCATGAAGATGAATAAAGAGACGTCGGAGAAGAAGATTTTAGAAGAAGAAGAAAAAGAAAAAGAGAAGAAGAAGAAGAAGAAGAAGAAGAAGAAGAAGAAGAAGAAGAAGAAGAAGAAGAAAAAGAAGGAGAGGAAGGAGAAGGAGAAGAAGAAGAAGAAGAAGAAGAAGAGGGGAAGGAGAAGGAGAAGAAGAAGAAAAAGAGGGGAAGGAGAAGGAGAAGAAGAAGAAGAAGAGGGGAAGGAGAAGGAGAAGAAGAAGAAGAAGAAGAAGGAGAGGAAGGAGGAGAAGAAGAAGAAGAAAAAGGAGAAGAAGGAGAAGAGGAAGAAGAAGAAGGTCTACAATGAATTAAAGGAAGAAGAAGAGGAAATTTTAGATATGAAGTTTGAAAAAAGGTAATAACGTATTTCTAGACCCTTGAAGGTGTCACTATTCGTGGGACATAAATTAATTTGAATTCAAATATCACTACTCCATCATTTAAAAAACTACCTTGAAAAAAATGACCTTTAAAATGGTAATTCTAAAGACGAACAGCCCCTGTGGATTTATCAAGCTGTCATTATGGACGAACAACATGAGCACATTTAGCGTCTGCTAGCGAATACTCCAAGAGTCTATTACATTTTTGTCGGATTTGGGGGATAACTTACCTTTTAAATCCGCAGAAGGTTTCCCTGAATGACGGGTGTCATTAACAATTTTTAAATTTTTTAAATAATGCCTTATGGGATTGTGATAGATTGATACAATCTTTATATCATTTAAAAGAATTTAACAATATGTAGATGATGTTGATGTAGTCATGAGTGGAAATCGATATTCAAGAGGAAGACATCACTTGGAGGAAGAGAAGGCGATGGATGATGAGTGGGAGTAGAATCAATATAACAGAGAGAAGAGATGGTGAGCATTGTCTAGAGGAAAGGTTTTCTTCTCTTTCATGCTATGCAGTTTGAAATATTAAGGGTTCATTGTCCGGTTCACGTATACAGGCAGAGTTTCGCATGTTTACATTTTGATCAAGATATGGCGTCAAACATTCTGAAAACGCCTTTTTGAATTTTTATTTTGAGAACAATACATCGAGGTACCATTTGTCTTAAGGCCGTGTCCATTTCCTGTGATTCTTGGATCACGCACGGGAGATTGATTGTATCCTCACGCGTGGTAGTGTTGACACTTGTTAAATATCCTTTAGATATACAGCCTTGATAACAAGTTCAAGAAGTGGTTTGTTAATTTTGCAGATGGTGACGTCAAGATATATGTAAGAAAACGCGAAAGCTTTCAAAAAGTACTCACCAATCGTGGGTATTTTTTCATTCCTCAGGCATGGGAGGGGGAGGGGCACTGATCTCAGTAGTTTGCTGAAATCCGTGGATTAGGGGAGGGGTCCCATCATGTTATTTACAAGTTCTCTTTACCTTCTCTATCTCCTTTTATATTTCTCTTCTTTATCTTCCCCTCTCCCTAGTATTCGATGAGGGGAGGTATCCCCGTGCATCCCGTATTTACGCTATACTAATGATAAAACAGATTATCCAGATTCTTTCGGTCACGACTGTCGGAGTATTCATTCACCTTTTTTCTTGACAATAGATAACATTTAAAACAAAATCGTCAAGGTCCCAGAAAAAATATAAATCCCCAAAACAGTTATAGTGTATTACTATAAATGTTTTATCTGATACTTACACCTACTGGCATCTGCAATTCAGATATGACATCATGGACAGTCTATACAATTCTAAAGACATTATATTCTTGATAATAAACAAATCATTTGTCCATTACAAAAATAATGAAATTGAATGACAATATGTGTGAGTCTGTGAGATGATGATGATGATGATGATGATGATGATGATTTAATGATTATGATGATGATGATGATGATAGTGTGCTACATTTAAAAATATTGAAAGATTTCGAAAGACATTGATGTTTACTTCGAGGTAGGTGTCTTTCAGTATTTCGAAAACTAATCATCGCGATAATTCAGGGCAGATTTTGCCTTCCGTGGTTGTCATAATAAACTGTGTTGTATATAAACCATTATATGCAATTTGAAGCTTGTCATCATGACTATAGGCTGTCTAAAAAAATAACTTACTTTGTTCGGTTGCTTTGTTTTCTGGCTACTAATAACACCATGAACTGTCCAAGATAAATGTTTAGTTGTACCTGAAATGTTCAAGATGCGTAATTGTCTAGACCCACACGTATACTATTCAGTTGTTATTTGGGCAAGCTGCCTTCATATTGTTTATACAACTCTCAGTATATAACAGAGATTCTCTTATTTTTGTTTTCTAGTCTACATACAATTCTGCTGATGATATCAAGACCACCTGCGAGTAGCTAGATTTCAATTAACTTAAAACAACACGCATTAGTTGTTGTCCACTTCAATTAGCATACAACGTTCTTTTTGTTTTTATCCGATGGATAGATTTAATTCTGTGGTTATGATCGCAAGCCTGTAGACATCAGCGCGACGCGTTGTGTCTGCATTCACGGGTCGTCGGGTCTATCTGGATCGAAGAGATTGACGACGCTGAGAACTCATACTTGACGCCAAGCGAGGAAACCCCTCCCCTCCTCCTTTCTCCCCGTACTGAGCCGCCCGCAGTACTCCTGTAACTTTGTTGTAACCAATAGGGTCTCGCCGTGCTCGAACACTGCACCAATAGGCGTGCAGCCCATCTGAGATGAGCGCTCGGCGTGAGGAGTGTTGAGTAGTAGCACTCACATACCAGGAGCTAAGGATGATGCTCGCAGTCCTATACCACTCCGCATCTTTTAGAATGTTTGCGAGTCATCGTCCCGCTCACCTGCTCTGCGATGTTGTTGTTTTAACCCATTATCATTTCAAGTCACATAATATTCTGTAACACCTAGCCGAGCTCTCCTGTACATGTCTTCAGTGCACCTCTCCGGCGGCGGAAACTGATGGTGGGATACCTTACGCCATTCACGCTACGGGCAACATTCTACTCAGAAAACTTTCGCGTAGATTCTTTTTCTCATCATCACCGAGGGGGGTATTTTTCGTCGCGATCGATGTCAAAGGAGCCGTCGATGCCCGGGACGTCAACGAAATCGACGTTGTTCTCCAAATTGTCTTGCCAGCAGGACTCGATCGAGTAGGATGTAACCTGGTTATTTATGATGTCCCCCAGACATCAAGGCGGATAATTGTTCCAGTTGGATTTCGGTTGACATACATCTAGGGCGGTAAGTTCGGGTCAACTTTTACTATACTCTTACCCTTTTTCAAATATTAGAATAATAATAATTGTGTTTCCTTAAGCTATTGGGATTTCCATTTTGTAGGAATTGACCTGTTATTATGAAGTAATTCCTTGAATGCTTCAAGCACTTGGCTAATGTATCATCTCTCCCACTTTGACCACAGAATACTCAATATTTTGCTGGTAACTTGAGTAATGTTAGTTCCATTAGTAATACTGATTTTTCTTGAAGAAATTTTGATTTGTGTACAGCGCTTTGAAACTTTTATGTCACAAGCGCTATATTCATTTTTCGTATTATTATTATTATAATTATTATTATTATAAATAATAGTGTAGATGAAGGAGATGGTTACTTGATATTGATAGAAACATAGAGAGAGAGAAAGAAAGAGAGAGAGAGAGAGAGAGAGATGCCATAATACTGGCCCCTGGTGGAAGTACTTTGTCATGGTCCTTGTACAGGCTAAACCAGGGACATGTATATAAAGGCACATGGAAGCCAGGGTAAAAGTGGACATGTCGGTGGTTTCACCAGGGAGAGATCTTCCGACTCCCTGCTTTGAGCATCCCCTGGAATTGATATGTGCGCATTATTAATAAGCTATGTATTACAATGTAGAGAGAGAGAGAGAGAGAGAGAGAGAGAGTAAAGCAAATAGAGAGAAGGATAACAGCAAGAGGAGAAGGAGAGAGAAGGCGGGAATGGAGGAAGAAGTGTTGTAAATATTAGTAAAGGAAACGAAGGAAAAAGTTACATGGACAACTTTACACTCGATAGTAAAAAGAAATGTATCATTCCCAAACCAACAAGCATTAAGTCATCCATTCCAAATAGTTTTTGTTTTTAATATTCAATCAAGAATGTGACAGGGGATACCGGCCGCAAGGCAGATTCCATCAGTCATTCGATTTCCTTACCTACAACAACATTTTATACACGATGATATTCTCTCCGTAAAGAAAAACATATGGTTGGTTTGTTAAAGAAAATAACAATAAGTCTCGTAGACATGGAAGTATCAATATAAGTTCAGACTGGATACAAATAAATAATCTGCTGAAAAGATGGGATCCGTTTATAAACAACGAAGAAATCAAGAAAGTACGTAGTCCATTACGTAGTCAAATCGATGGTAGGATAACAGATCTTGAGGGTTTTTGCTTACAATTTCCTCCTGAGCAACATATATTCTTTAGCAATTGTCTTTCTTTTTCGAGATGCAGACGCAGTTCTGTTATCTGAACTTTAATAGCAGACTGCAAATGGATAGGAGGAGAAATAATATGCCAGTTTCGAGTTTGGTCTTGAAACAAAAATGAAGTAAACATGCTACAATTACATATATTTGAGACTGCCTTTGTAAATTTCGGACGTTTGAAATTCGATCCCATGAATTTAAAGGAAAAACTAACATACTTAAAAATACAGAGTGGCAGTTGGTTGTGCGGAAAATGTCTGAGTTGGGATGGGGTGGTCACAGACCGTTAGGTGAAAGATAAAAAAATAAATACTGATAATCTGGTGAATAGTATGCACTATTCTCATTCGCTTCATTTAGTGATGCCTCAAGAAATAACACAAGTGTTATACATTTTATGTAGATCTTGTCATATTACAAAATGGTGTACAAGTAGATGGAAAATTGATTGTAAACGATTTCCGCCCAATGTAGTGAACTTTATTGGATAACTTGTTCAAGTTCATAAAAGTTTCCCGCGATAAATAACTGAATATTAAATCCATCTGTTTGCAGGTTCCTTCCTGCATTAGTTTGTATTCTTCACCAGTGTCTTTCCATCCTTAAATTTTAAAGCCCAACAGAGAATATATGGATGCCCAGTGCGGCCCTACTAACATGGGAGAGGGCACACGTGCTACCTAAAACGTAGTCAGAGTCAAAGACATCGTAAAGACTATACCTGCTGTCGACATGATACCATATATAAAATTCTCCAGCGCACGACTGTTCCTAGGCAACCATAACGCCGGGTTACAGGGGTTAACATATGTTATGCGATGTATAAAATATTTGTTTTTTAATTCTCTTCAGAAATGTTGGAGAGAACAGAGAGCGAAATGAGACAAGGGAAAAGAGACGGGATGGTTTGTTCGTTGAATCATAAGTCGCTACAACATAAAAGTTGATGCGGAAAGATATAAAACTAGAATGATATTCTAAAAAATCACAGTCGCACAGATAACGTTGTCCAAATGTTTTTAATGCTTAGATTTGCTAATCATTTCACACCGTAAACTAGTAAGGACATGAAGTTCGAAATGTTTTTTTCTTCTCCATTTGCTGTCTGCCAGAATGCGTAGGCAAATATTGTACATTTTGAATCTTGTCAAAGATATAAACGGCAACATATTAATGAAGGAACAACCGACGAAGCTTCAAATAATATACACGTATAGCCGCGATATTGTACATAATTATGTGCATAGTGAAATGACTGAATTATGACAGACAAAATAATCTTTGTCTTCAGAAGAAAATGTAGACGATGATAGAAATAAATTGTACCCCGATTGGCATGGGGATAGTGATCTAAAGATTTTTTTTCTCGGATGTCCACATAATCGATATTCATTCACGAAACCCTAATACAGGTGTTGATCAAGTGTTGTGCGATGGGGAGAGGGGGGGGGGGGGTTCAAGAGAGAGATAGCGTGAGAGAGAGAGAGAGAGAGAGAGAGGTCGCATCTAAAATAATTTGCTAAATAAATATAAAGTTTCACGCTTCTTTTATTTCTCAAAACTGAAAGAGCAATCTAATCCATGTAATTAATTCATTTGTATGAAAGCAGGAAGATGAGAGAACTGAATGGCAAAAGTTTGAAATAAATCGGACCGATAATAAGTGTTTGTGAAGTTCAAATTGGCAGTTTGGTCAGTGGATTCTGACGACGTTTAATCGTGGATAACTCTCCCGTACACAAATATCATTAATTTGGGCCTTTCTCCTTTAATAATGCCTTCTCTCTTGGGACACTACTCAAAATATTTTATGGATAGCATATTATTATAGGTCCTTTAAAGAGAAAGTCATGAGTCATACATTGTTGAACATTTTTAGTCATTTTCTCCTGTAATTAAGGGAGGGGGACAGGGGCGGTGGCTCCATTCAGAGTCGCCTTATTATGGGAGGTGATAATACAGTATCGAAACCGTATTTAGAACCAGGATCATATACATGTTTGATCTGTGTCAGTCTAATTGTCACTGTACCTGTCTTTCTCCTGTAGAGGCATCAGATTATCTTATTTGTTCATCTTACTTTCCAAAAACAAGGTACGTCTGTCGTCCACAGCGTATCGTTTTCTCACCAAATCCTCTCTACATGGAACGATGCTAAAGCCTTTATACTATCGGCCTCATCCCGGGTAGTACCTGGCCGGGCTGTTTCTTCTAGGGGCACCGCAAGAGGGGGTTTGTGGTGATAGATCCCGCGTCCATTGTATCCATAGAATTTCAAAATCGAAACGAAAATTAGTGGCCGTTTTTTTGTCGGCAAATTTAAAGGTGAAATTCAAAGGAGATCACAAATATGTCAACTAATGTATCATTAGAAACTGGTAAGCTAACAGATGGCCATCGGACAAGTTTTAGGTCAACTACATATCGGGTGATTTATAAAAATACAAGTACACCCACCTCCATAGCAACTGGGATATACGAGAGATTCGCCGGAAAAATAACGATGTTTTAATGACGTCACTACATAGATCAACACTGCAACACGACATCCCATAGAGAATGAACATAATTGCAAAGCTATTATTTCTCAAATTATAATGGGTTTAGTGTATATAAATGTAATGGCATGTCAAACCATTCAAAAGGGGATATGACCCGATTCTGATAACTAAAATCTTTTGCTTGTAAATACGCAGGATATGAGTTAATTAACAATCAAAGAAACCAGACTTTCAAATTGAAAACCCCCCGGAATGATATTAAGGACGGCATTTGTTCCCTCTTAAAACGCCGAACATACCCCGGTGTGTGCAGCTGAATGTACAATGGCGTCTTATTTTGTTTACAAGCGACAGATTCCTTTATTTTTGTATCGCTGCATTTGTCATCAAAATAAAAACATATACATTTAGCCTGACGGTAGTGAAGTAAGAGAAAGAATTTAAGAGAAGATGAAAACACAGGACTGAAAATGTGTGAGATGTCATGGGACATCGTCTGCTTGTGCAAGTCATGTCCATACTGTGATCTCACACATCTCAGCAGCGTTCGGAGAGCTCTTCAGGTGCTATGCCGGGGCTGTATTTAAGCGTTTTGTAATTTATAATAATCATTACTTCGAATGTTTCCAAGCATTGAATTTTGATAACCTTGTCGAATCAAAGTTTCAACTTTGCAATAATGAAAATAAATTTAGTTTTTAAAATCAATGAATGTCTACTTTAAGAATCTCAAGACGTTCTTTTCTGCTCGATTAAATGTTACGGCTACCTTGTCGCCAAATTTGACCGACACCCCTCCCCCACCCATTCAAAACGTTCTCGCGACGCCCCTGTCCTCTTTCCTGGTAATAGGACATGGAGTATTTGCAATTAGTTGTCCGTGATCCGACAGGTCCGGTTCAACGTTTTTTGTTGCTGTTACTTTGTATTATCATTCGAGGCGTGGTGTTGGCAACAATTGAGAAAATGGCGAAAGTGTCCAATATCACTACGTAAACATTGCGTTCTTCAATACCGAAGTAAGTTTTTCACAATCTAGACTTTAATCTAAAAGCCAGCATTTAAAACAACCAACTATATTTAGCTTTACACAAAGTGCTCTGTCAAAAGAGCTTGCATCAACTAGCATCAAAGAAAACATCAGTTTTAATATCTTTTACTTTCTTTAACTGGTGTTGGACTTTCATTTTAAAAGCGTTCGGACCACTGTTGAGCCGGAAAATTAGGGCACAACAACGTGTTAATTTTCTCCGCTACACTGAAGTTCTCGTGTCACATCA